CACACTCTTCAAATTCATGCCAGCTATTATTTTTACGTCCAGTAGGTGTCCTACTAGAGCAAATGAAGCTTCAAGAAGCTTTGCGCTGGGGTGAACCAACTGGATGAAAAGCTTCAGTGCTTCATGAAGCTTCATCTGCCCATCACTAATTGAAAGGTGCATTACCGCCACCAACTGGTATGGAGTATGGTCTGGAACGACGCTCAAAAAAAAAGAAAAAATCCTCAAATCCTTCCAAACAGGTTTCCCTCTTTTAAAAACTGAAATAAGGCCTGATAACTTTTACTTCCCGATTCCTTTCGCAACAAATCAACAAGATCCAGTTGGATTTTTAGGTTACTGAGATTTTGATTGTCTCCTCTCAACCTGATACCTCTGACACTGCAACATGACATGTTCTACAGTTTCCTCTACCCCACAGTAATCACATTTCCAGTACTATGTTTCCCTATCATGAATAACATATTGTCCAAATCTCAGTCTGGATACGATCACCTCCTCCCTCCTAGTCCGTCCTGCATTTCTCATTCCTCCCACCCTCCTTTGAATCTTAGACAACCATCGTCCCTTCCTTTCCTCCTCCCGCTGCTTTTGCCATCTTGCTCTCATATCTAGCCTTACCATACTCCTTATCTCTGCTTGGCCAAAACTAACAGCCATGTCAACCACCCCATGTTTTACGGCCTCCTTTGCAACTCTATCTGCCTTTTCATTCGCACATACGCCATAGTGTGCTGGCGCACACAAAAACACGACTGCAAGTCCCATAATGCGTATCCAGAAAAGTGACTGCTGAATTTCCGCCAAAACATCTGCTCTACTCTCTGAGTGACTATGCTGTAGGCTGACCAATGATGAACTTGAATCTGAACAAATGACAGCATGTAATGGTCTCACGTCCTCCACCCACTGAACAGCTAATAACATTGCGATCATTTCCCCAGTGTACACAGAAAGCCCATCACTAATCCTTTTACCCATTTCCACCGAAAACTCTGGGACCACGACTGCAACACCGGCTTGACCGGTTGTGTTCTTTGAGGCGTCCGTATATATTTGAACATAACTATAATATTGGTCAATGTAAACCTGTACCGCATGAGAGTTCAAAGTAAATGCCTTATCCTCATTCTTCTTGTTCAACAATGTTAAGTTTACTGTGGCATCAGGAAGTAGCCATGGAGGTACTGCCGGTAACGGCACTCTGTGACTAATGTTTAACTGATCCAGATTAAATTCTGTTGCTTGTCTCCCCACAATCCATCCAAAGCTCTTCCTTTCCCTCCTTTCTTTCTCCCAGCAAGGTTTAAGTACTTCATGCGTTGGGTGATCCTGCCCGTGGCCCTGTAAATTAGCCCAGTAATTAAGTATGAGCTGCTCCCTTCTCAGTCCCAATGGCATCTCTCCCATCTCCACCTGTAAAGCTGCTGTTGGAGTTGTTTTAAATGCACCTGTGCAAATTCGTAGTGCCTGATACTGAATATGGTTTACCAGAGTTGTGTCTGCTGCTGAGTGCTATGCTGCACACCTATAATCCAAGAGTGTAAGCGTTACAAACACCAACCGAGAAAAAGGAAAAAAGAAAAGAAAAAAACGCTGCCTGTAAATCAAAACTCGAAATATTTTAATATTTCCACGTACTGACTCAAAACTTTGAGTAATTCGAAATTTGCCACTGATACTAACTCAAAGTGCCAAGTTTCAAAGTTTGACTTAATAATTAGAAATTTGGAGTTAGTAAATATGAGATACCTATCCCAAAAACCTTGTGATAACTTTTCTAAAAAAACAAATTTTCTGTGACAGAAACACAAAACAAACAAACAAATAGCAAATTCTTTCTATCAGGCCTGTTTTTCCATATCTCACCACACTGTCACAAGGTGTCAGTAAGCTTCATTCTTTTTTTTCTTGTTTTTACATTTTTAGACGTTTTTTATACAACATCAACTGGCATCAATAACGTTGCATTATGAGGTCCAATGTACTTATTTATTGAATAAAACATAAATTAATGTGTCACAGTTCGATATTTTTTCAATACAAAAAAATGTTCATGCCTTTTTAATTTGTTATTTATTAAAATTATAAATATATATTTTAACTTAAAAGTACGGTTTTTAAATGTAATGTTGCTGAAACAACAAAATAATAAAAATAAATAAATCTATCTGATGGAGAAATCACTCATCTTTGGAAAAGAGAGTTTATTACAGAGAAATGTCTCTTTCCAAAATAAAAGCTCTACTATACGCTTCTTCTGGG